GTGGGTTTAATTGTTGGAAGCTACAAAATAAAATAATTGTTCTTAGCTACTATAGAATTAACTTGTTGAATTCTTTCACAATTTGAAAAGGTAGGTTAGTTAATTAACTTTCACCAAATTCATTTCAGGACATGGCAGAAGAAATGTAATGTAAAAGGTGTGCTTTGAGAGAAAGGAAGTTGGAGGATTTTTCACAAAAGACAACATACTTTAAAATATCCCCAACGTAGATCTGAGTAAAAGATTATGCACTCATTATTCTGTTGCTTTTTGACAACATGCAGAGCAGGATGAAACAAATGGGATAGCTTAAAACCAGCAAGGAGTAACAGCTCCTATCAAATGTCATTTTCGAATTAGCAAAAAGTTGCAATATGCAATAGACCAACTTCATGATGGTGATATGGTGATATGATACAAAATGGTAATATGAGCCAAAGATAAGGTGACCAGATGTCCCGCTTTTGGTGGGACAGTCCCGCTTTTTAAAAATTTGTCCTGCATCCCGCGAGATTTTAAAAAGTCCCAATTTTTTGGTCGGACGCGCATGTGGCAAGAAAACACCACGCAGCAGTTTGCAACTTCCGCACAGTGATTTCTACTGTCACAGGCTCCAGAAGCTGGGGAGGTCCTTTGCAGGCAGCTAGAACTGGCCGCCCACAAAGGATCTCCCCGGAATTCTTTTGATGAGCGGGGAGCGACTGACGGTAGTTTGCGCCGGCTGCATCCGCCTGTGGCAGCGGCGCCTCCCCCTCCGCTCGGACCACCTGAGCTGGGCACCGTGTTACCCCTGATGCCGCCTCCTCCTCCTCTGCCATGCTTTTGAGAAGCCATGGGGCCTTTTTTTCCTGCTCCCATTCCCTCCGCCGCCTTCCTACTGGCTCCCGCAGTCTCATGGCTCCTCAAAAGCATGGCAAAGGAGGAGGCGGCGGCAGGGGTAACGTGGTGCCTAGCTCAGGTGCTCCAAGTGGAGAGGGCAGCACTGCTGCTACCATGAACAGGGGCACCAGCGGGAGCTTTGGCGGCTTCACCTCAGCTGCAGCGCCGGGCAGCAAATGTGGTGGTTCTGTTGGAGGTGGAGGCGGCAGGGGTAACGTGGTACCTAGTTCAGGTGCTCCGAGCAGAGGGGGAGGTGGCGCCACCGCTGCCACAGGTGGGGGTGCCAACGGGGGCTTTGGTGGCTTCACCTCAGCCGCAGCACCGGGTGGCAAATATGGTGGTTCTGTTGGAGGAGGAGACGGCATATAGACTAAATTTTTAATCAAGACCCCCCCCCCCAGTCAATGGTGTCCCGCTTTACCAATGTTAAAATCTGGTCACCTTAGCCAAGGAGGCGCAGTGGTTAGAGTGCAGTAATGCAGGCTACTTCAGCTGACTGCTAGGTTCAATTCGGCAGTTCAAATCTCACTAGCTCAAGGTTGACTCAGCCTTCCATCCTTCCCAGATGGGTAAAATGAGGAAACAGATTGTTGGGGGCAATAGACTGACTCTGTAAACCGCTAAGAGAGGGCTGTAAAGCACTATGAAGCGGCATATAAGTCTAAGTGCTATTGCTGCTATGATACAAAAATAAGTCAAGAATTAAGAAATAGACCTATTGATCATAAAATCTAATCATCTCTTTTGCCACAGAGATGTGATGTTGAACATAACTAGAATATTTTTATTTTCTCCCTTTATGATAGGTTGTGATAGAGTTCCCAAAATATGCACTGGAAGACGAATCTTACTGAGAATTTTGAACTGGCATGGGGAGATTTACTTAAAACAAACTCCCTCAAATTTTTAAAGATCCACTTTGGATTCAGAATTTGCCTCAAATTCAAATAAAGGAAACTAGCAAATTAGAAAACCAATACGGTATCTTGCCTAATTGGCCTTCTGGGTATCTTTTTGTATTCTTTATCAGGTTAAGCTGTGTGGACAAATTATTTTCAAGTACCTGTCCAGTTACTTAGATAAACCAAGAGAAGCTCTTCAGGGTCCTTTCAGGTACACAGGATAGGTCTTCTCTTTGTAATTCCCAGGCTGCACAATAGCTGAGTCCTATTCTTCCAGCTTTCATGAAGATGGCATTCATTCAGAAAAGCTTAGCATTTCATTTGCTAAGTTTTTAATTGTTAGTCTAATACTATGTTTGGTTTGAATTTTGATTTCAATTGCATTAAGGTCAGCTGAGTTCATATTTTGNAAAATAAAAAGTTAAAATATAGAGAAAAAGAAAACAGATTTAAAAGCAACACACCGTACACTCAACCTAGGTGGGGCTGGACCTCGTTCATGGGGTCAACAGCCCCAGTCCTGCTGGAACAGCCAGGTTTTAGTGGCTTTTCAGAAGGCCAAGAGAGTGGGAAGGGTCCGGATCTCTGCGGGTAGATCGTTCCACAGGGCCGGAGCAGCTAAGAGAAGGCCCTCCCCCTGGGGGTCGCCAGCCGGCATTGTCCGATCGATGGCACCCGGAGAAGGCCCAGCCTGTGAGATCTTATCGGCCGTTGGGAGGTATGTGGCAGGAGGCGGTCTCGCAGATATCTGGGTCCTAGGCCATGTAGGGCTTTAAGCTGTTCTTCCTGTTGATCCAACTCCTGCTTTCGGTAGCCCAGTTTCTCCTTCTCTTCTGGTTCCCCTTTTTCCCTGCATGCTGGGATTCTCTTGACACTTCCCTGCATTTCTTTCCTGGTGCTTCCCCAGATTCTTTTGTATCAAGTCCTTTGGTGCCGCACAGCTCATCTCTTTCAGTGCTCGACATTTGGCCACCACGTGTGAGGCTGATTAGCATTTCCTCTCTAGATTGGTGGTCTCTCATTTACTGGCATCCTTTCTCTGTTGGCAAAATATTCCAAAATAAGGAGAATTCATTGTTTCATTTCATTGGCTCAGAGAATGTGGTTTTCCAGTCTCTTTTACTTATACAACCCCCTCAGGGTTTTTTTTTTTTTAAAAAAGACCAGTTTTTGCTATATATATGGGGAGGCTTCCAGAAAACCCAAAGAGCAGGCTGGGTTTGGCTCCCACCGCTGAGCAGCTGCTTCAGATGGGATTCTGAGGTTGTTGTTTTTTAATGAGCATTACTAAAACACACCACAATCTAAGAATTACAATGATGTTAGCAAATGAGAGATGCACAAAGGTATTTCAGCCTAAGCGGATCAGCCTGGTAAAGCAATGAAAAGTAAATTGAGGGGTGTTGAAAGAGTTGGATCTCTTTAATGCTGAGAAGACATTTTGTTACTCAGTAACAAAATTATCTTATCCTGTAAACTCCTCAAATCTTTCCTTCTCCCAGAATGAAGCAATAATTTTATTTATTTATTATTATTATATACTTTATTGATTAAACATGAAATGCAGTCAACTGAACATTCAAAAGCGTCTCACAAATGTTATTGACTGGTGCTAATGGTTGATACAGGTTGCTGCCAGCATCCTAGATATCAACCAAATACCTTCTTAAAATATACGATATTCCAAGTAGCGTAGTTTTTTGCGTGGCCCGACAAATGCGCGCACGACAAAAGCGCGCCAACAAAACTGCGGCGAGAACATCACAACGTCATAAACGCACCCACAACAACGCGCCGAGGGGGGAGGAGAGAGAGAGAAGAAAGTGTTGGATAAGGCACAAATATGGTGTATGGAGAGCAGAAGAGCCAATAATTGTTTTTTTGGAGGAGCTGATGGTAAGATGAATTGATGTAAATATTTAACAATACAACATGATATTGGCTATGTAATAGTATACATGTGGTTATATGTTATGAAAATGGAAATAAGAAGTTTTCATGAAGAGAACAACGCGCCGACAAAACCGCGCCCACAAAAGTGCGATTTAAGTTAAGGTAAGGGTTAGGTTCAGGGTTAGGTTTAGGGTTAGGTTTAGGGTTAGGGTTAGGATTAGGGTTAGGGTTATTAGGTTGTTATTAGTTGTTTGTTGAAGGCACGCATTTGTCGGCACGATTTTGACCTCACGGTTTTCTCACAGCAGTTTCCTCGGCGCGCTTTTGTCGAGCGCGCATTTGTCGGTGAACCGTTTTTTTGCAGTTCCACTGGTTGTTTGCAGGAACCTGCAATTCCTTGATGTGTTTTGTAAAATTCTTGGACATGGTACCAAGTGCCCCAATGACAATTGCTATCACTGTTATTTTATTAATTTTAATTTTAATTCTAATCTGAATCTTAATCTAAATTTTTTGTAAACTTACATCCTGCTTTTCTATTCAGATGAAACTCAGGACACTAATGACTAAAATATTAAAATATTGAAAAAAAAATTGCAAAAGCATTTTAATGTGAACGTACACAGGCCTATCCCACAATACTTTGGTAGCTGATTCTTGTGCCTTCAGGTGAGGAGCAAAGGATAATTCTTTTATGGAAAGCAGCCAAGGTGCCTTATCGCTGTTCATTGTAATTATATCCTGCTTTTCTTTCAGGAGTTTAGACTGGCACACTTACCACCCTCTCCTCCAATTCTTCCTATATCTAAAAGAAAGTGAGCTTCCATGGCTGATGGTAGATATGTACTTAGCCATGGAGGAGATTACACAGGGAGTGGGGAGAAATGGAAAGTGCTTGAAGTGTTGGCTTCAATCAGGGGTGGGTTTCTCGCCCCGTTCCAACCGGTTCGGTTGGAACGAGGCCGGCGGCGTCCTCGCGCACACGTGCGGCGTCCTCGTGCACACGTGCGGTGTCCTCGTGCACGCGTGCGTACTAGCGTCTGTGCAATGCTCCAGCTGCTCCTGGAGGATCGCGCAGGCGCTGTATGCATCCTGCGCATGCGTGGAAGCGCAGAATTCATCAAAACCGGTTAAGGAGTGGGGGCACGGGCACGGGCGCAGGGGGGGCCTTCGCCGTTCCCGGAAGTTACTTACTTCCGGGTTCGGCGACCAACCGGTTCGCAGGGACCGCCGCGAACCAGTTGAAACCCACCCCTGGCTTCAATATATAATCATTGATATATTAGCTGAACCATATCTCATACTATTTTTTCCTTGTTTTTTTAGTGCCCAGGGGGAACATTTACACCCTCAATGAAATCAACCAAGGACTATCCTGATGAGGTGATCAACTTCATGCGCACTCATCCAATGATGTACAATGGTGTCTACCCCATACACCGCCAACCTCTTGTGGTGAGAACCAACGTCAAGTACAAGTTCACAACTATAGCTGTGGACCAGGTGGATGCAGCTGATGGACGCTATGAGGTGCTTTTCCTGGGCACAGGTACCCACTGATGTGCATTGAAAAGAATACACAGCACTTCCACCCACCAATTCCCCAGCCTGGAAGATGAGCATTTGGGGTTTATGTAAAAGCAGTTAGGATAGGTTGTCTAGGGGTAGTCACTTAAACTTTTCTGTATCTCCGCTTCACCCAGGTTTTAGTAAATTTTGGAAGTAATTTATCTGGCAGTGCAATTAGTTGGAAGATGGTAACAGAGTTATCAAATCTCAACTCCAACTTTTCAATTTTTACTAGAATACTGTTTCAGAAGCACAGGAGAACATTTGAAATTTCTGCTTATTCAAGGCCTTCTTTGGAAAAGTCAGAGGAATTCAAGCTAACATTTACTGCTCCCTAAGTCACACTTCAGAGGCCTCTTATATATAGAATTGATTTCTCATTTCCTATGGTTTCCTGTATCACTTGCAAGGCTGTTCCAGAGGCAAGAACAGAATTCTGGTAATCTTCCCTCAGTTTGAGTGAATAAGAGTCCCCCTCTTCAACTTTAACAGAGCAAAAATATATCAAGCAAGGATTCCAATGGATTCAGTTTCTTGTTTATAAACATGCCCTTCTAGAAGCTCCAGAGTAGAATTGATCTGAGCCAGCAAAGTTCCCATCAGATGTGTTGAGCTCCAGTGCCCATAATCCTGAACCTGGATGGAAAGGCTGAAATCCATCATTCATATTTGGAAGACTAGTAAGAAAGGTTGATGTAATATTATCTCCCAACCAGGCAATGTTGACCCATCATTCTCCAAAGCTTTGTCAGGTATAATTAACTCAAAGCATACAATTTTGCACATGTCCAAGTCTCTACTGAAGTGAATGGAACAGTATTACTTTAAGGATAAAAAACACAGAGATCTAATGACATGATTTATCAAAGTGCAGAATTCATATATAAGGAAGGCATGGCTAGCAGATGTTCTTTGCACTGGACTGAATCTGATGTAGTTGAGTTACTTGCCTCCCACAAGTCAAAGGAGACCAGCCAACAGGGCAAGAACCTGCCAACCAAGAACGTTCCTCATTAGCTTTCAAATATTGTTGCGTATCTGCACAGTTATTCTTTGGGCTGCCCAATTCACTGCACAACATCCAGCAGCTGTACACAGTCTGGCCATCACCTGTCGAAGTCTGCAGGGAGTTTCTGCTTTCTTTCTAGCCAAAGTTGTCAATGAATCTGCAAATCTTAGTTATTTCCTGTTGCAGAAAGAACCAAGTTCAGGGATCAAAGTACTATCTGGTGGAATTCATGGCTGTGGGTGGCATTCAGTACAGAAGGCAGATAGAAGAGGAATGGTTTGGTTGCTCAGATAGAGATTCCTGCTTTTAATATCATCTCCAGCCGTTGAATTCATAACACAGTCCAACATTCAGAAGTCAGTCTTGTGAGTTCATTGTCAAAATGTTTAAAAGGAATAGCTGCCAGCCCCACTTCTCTGTTTCAGACCACGTCTAATGCTTTCTCAGAAGCATTTGTGTCTGGTTTTTAGACTGAGTTATAAAAAAGTCATCATAAGGACTAGTTCTAAAAAATAATTTTAACTATTTAAATTTGGATAGTTCCAGTTGACGTCTTTAGATATAGTTATAAATATTTCCTTCACTTTGAAGTCTATAACCCACACATGTCACAAAATCCAAAATGGTGTTTGTGTTTTATAAGATGAGAACTGTTTCAGTCTTCAAGAAAGCACTCGGTACCCATCTTTCAACACAAACTAGGTAGAAACTATCAGAAGTCTTCTAAAAGAGCATGCAGAATTAAAGATTCTTCTCCATTTTGTTTTTAAAAATTTCCCCTCCAGGTGGTTTCTGTGAGAAGAGCCAATTTGTTTGCTTTCTTGCCAATTTTTTTTTTTTTTTTTGGCTTTACTCTTGCAAGTAAGGCAGAGGCAGTATTTCCTTTCAAAGTAGTCCTAATGCCAGGAGTAAATCTTAGAGATGGATGATGAAGTCCATAAATTTAAGTTCACTGATGAGGAAGAAGCAAGATANAAGAATAGAAAAGAATAGAAAAGAATAGAATAGAATAGAATAGAAAAGAATAGAATAGAATAGAACAGAATAGGAATTAGAATAGAATAAAATAGAATAACATAGGAATTAGAATGGAATGGAATGGAATGGAATGGAATAGAATATAAAAGGAATTGGAATGGAATGGAATGGAATAGAATAGAATAGAATAGAATAGAACAGAGAATTAAAATTCTATTTAATTTTCTAGGAGGCACGCATACAGAAAAAAATACTCGTACACGCAGATGTTGCATTTTCTTTCTCTGTTTCTACTTTTTGAACTTCTGAAGTCCTCACATCAATACTTATTAACAGAATAGCAGAGTTGGAAGGGACCTTGGAAGTCTTCTAGTCCATCCCTCAGCTAAAGCAGGAGATCTTATACCATTCTAGGCAAGTGGTTGTCCAGTCCTTTCTTGAAAGCTTCCACTGATGCAGCACCCACAACTTCTGAAGGCAAGTCGTTCCGCTGGTTAATTGTTCTCACTATCAAGAAATTTCTCTTTCGTTCTAGGTTGCTTCTCTCCAGGGGCAAAATCCTACCAGTTCAGATTTGTTCAGGAGAACCGATAGTGGACATTGGACCTGGGTCGCCAAACCGATAGGGACCTCTGGCTGGCCATGCCCCCAAATCAGTGCCCCGGCCGCCGCTCGCTCGCCCCGCCATGCCCAGTCTCTGCTTTCCACCATCCCAGCCTGCCTCTACTCCCTTCCCTGTGGCCCACAGCCCTGCCATGCTTGCCTGCCTACCACATGGCCTTCCCAGGGTCCCGATGGCCACCTTGTGAAGGCAGGCAAGCGGAAGGCTGCATGGAAGGCAGGAAAGCATGTCAGGGCCAGCCAGCCGAAGGGAAGGGAGATAGCAGCCTACTCCCTTCCCCGCAGCCTGCCATGCTTGCCTGCCTTCCACACAGCCTTCCTGGCAGTCCCCCATGCATTGGCTAAGTGGCAAAGATGCTGAGCTTGTCGATCAGAACGTTGGCAGTTTGGCGGTTCGAATCCCTAGTGCCGTGTAATGGAGTGAACTCCCGTTACTTTTTCCAGCTCCTGCCAACCTAGCAGTTCGAAAGCACGTAAAAATGCAAGTAGAAAAATAGGAACCACCTTTGGTGTGAATGTAACAGCGTTCTCTGTGCCTTTGGCATTTAGTCATGCCAGCCACATGACCACGGAGACGTTTTCAGACAGCGCTGGCTCTTTGGCTTTGAAACGGAGATGAGCACCACCCCCTAAAGTCGGGAATGACTAGCACATATGTGCGAAGGGAACCTTTACCTTTATAAGAAGTTGAGCTATCAGTTTTGCTGAAAAGGGAAAAGATAAGCCAAACACAGTGACTTGTAAGGTTTACCCCTTCCCAGAAGACCAGCAACGGTTGATGTTTTTCTCCTTTTAAAATCTCCCCAAGCGCAGTTTAAAACCATCTGCCAGATGCAGCCTCAAGGTCCTGGAATGTACACTATTTCAGAGGTTGTTTGCCAGGCAGACGGGACTGGAAGCAAACTGGGATGAAATCACTTTCCAAAGAAAAGAAAAAAAAATCAGGTGGTTCGATAACCTTGGTTTTAAAAAAGCAACAGAGAGAAAGGACCCCTGGCTGTATCCCAGGAGCCTTGTCCCACCACCCTGCACACCCTTGAGGGTTAATGCACGATGGGAAGAAGCAGTGGCCCCAACCGCTCTCCCTGAATGTTGGAAAGCTTTGCCACGAGGACAGCTGCGCCGTCACCTGTCTCTGCAGCTGTGTCCCACACTTTGAACCCAGCGAGTTAGAAAAACAACGTTGTGCAGGCTTGTGCTTAGAATTTGGATCCCTCTTCTTCCCCCCCAAATGGCCACCAGCTCTTGGCATGTGCCCACCCTAGCTGTGCTGTGAAGGCAGCCTCTGGAGACCAATGTGTGCGCCCATCTCACAAAGAGCCATTTGTGTCCCGGGAATCTATGGGGCAGGAACTGGGCACGGCTAATCAAGTGAAGAGAAGGACCAGGGGAGACAGGATAGCAGTCTTCCAATACTTGAGGGGCTGCCATAGAGAGGAGGAGGTCAAGCTATTTTCCAAAGCACCCGGAGGCCAGAGAAGGAATAATGGATGGAAACTGATCCAAGAGAGATTCAACCTAGAAATAAGAAGAAATGTTCTGACAGTGAGAACAATCAATCCATGGAACAGAAGTTGCCTTC